GGAGGTGTCTACGGACAACACCGGCTCTTTGGCTTAGAAATGGAGATGAGCACCAACCCCCAGAGCCAGACATGACTGGACTTAATGTCAGGGGACAACCTTTACCTTTACCTTTAGCCAGATTATGTTCATTTTCATGGTTTCCTCCTTTCTGATGAAATTGTCCACCTGCTTCTTGTGGATTTCAATGGCTTCTCTGTGTAGACATCCCGCCTTGATTACTGCAACGCTCTCTACGTGGGGTTGCCTTTGAAGACAGTCCGGAAGCTCCAACTAGTCCAACGGGCGGCAGCCATGGTACTAACAGGAGCGGGGCGCAGGGAGCACACAACTCCTCTGCTGCACCAGCTCCACTGGCTGCCGATATGCTACCGGGCTCAATTCAAAGTGCTGGTTTTGGCCTTTAAAGCCCTAAACGGTTCTGGCCCAACTTATCTATCCGAACGTATCTCAGCCTATCAGCCCACCAGGACCCTAAGGTCTTCTGGAGAGTCCCTGCTCTCTATCCCACCGGCTTCCCAAGTGCGGCTGGCGGGAACGAGAGACAGGGCCTTCTCTGTGGTGGCCCCTCGGCTTTGGAACACCCTCCCTATAGAGATACGATCAGCCTCTTCGCTGATGGTCTTTCGGAAGAGATTAAAAACATGGTTGTGTAAACAAGCATTCAATTAGTTTGTTACTATTGAATTTATAGACTAAGGACTGGTTAACTATGGATGACGAACTCTGGACTGTGATTTTTGTGACGAGAAGCATGGTATTATTATTGGTGGCCCAATAATTTGTATTGTTTACGTGTTGTTGTTTTAAATTGTACATTGCTTTTAATTGCTGTAAACCGCAATGAGTCGCCGATTTAGGCTGAGATATTAGCGGTATACAAGTGTATTAAATAAATAAAATAAATAAATAAATAATAGACTGACATGGTGGTTGTGAGAGTGGTCTAGCATTTCTGTCTTCTCAAATAATCTGCTGTGTCCAGGTTGGCTCATCAGGTGCTCTGCTATGGCTGACTTCTCTGGCTGAAGTCATTTACAGTGCCTTTCCTGTTCCTTGATTCGTGTCTGGGCAATCCGGCTGCATTTG